TTGGGGATATTAATTAACAAGATCATCATCCATAATGAGATTATCCTGTCACCAGATAAAGTCATGCTCAGTTCATGCTGTGGTGAGAAGGTCCTCAAAAGTAATTAACTATGGGGTTGCAATGGGGGTAACTCTGGTGTGACAGAAACATGAACAAAGGTCTGGGTTCAGACAAAGCCCTGCGTTTTTCATAGCCTGCATTGTTGAGTTTTAAGAAGGGACCAGTGGAAGCACTTCTCCAAAGGCTGTGGAGTAACACTGGTCATGACATTGTAAGCAATTGCTCAGAATAATTTTCAGAAATGCCAGTAGCTAGTATGACACAGTAATTGCTCATTAACTATTTTTCATTTGACTTCCTGGTTGATGTTAGAGGGAAGACATAAGGATTAAGAGACTTATTGATAATGACAGCTATTGTATGAAGTACGTAATACACAGTTATATCACAGGAGTTCCTCACTAGAGCGCTAACAGTCACATAACATAGCCAAAGAATGAAAAAAAAATGTACTTTTCTTATTTCCTAGGGAACAGGGAAGTCAGGAGGAATAAGCTTCCAGATGGTTTAACTTAAGATCACTGTATCATGTTCAGGTTTTCCCTTTAAATCTAATTTTCACCAGACACTCTTGGCTATATAAAAACTTCCCCAGCAGTTTCCCAGGTTGCTTCTAAGACTGAACGAAGGTGTTCCTATGCCATCCACTACTAGAATGTCATGAAACACAATGGAATGAAAAATAGTGTACCTTTAACTCTTGTCAAGCCTCAGAATCTGGCTAGGCTTGAAATAACAGGACGAATACTCAATTCATAGATTAAAATAATTTGACTTACTATATAGCTAAGTAGCTTCCACACGTATGTTTCATGCATAGCTTCCATAACATGTTTTAATGATTTCCAAATGGAAAAAACAGGATTAAGACAATGAAAAACAATCTGTAGCTTTTCTGAATAATTATAGTACATCTCATTTAATCCGTCTGTCAAAAAAAAAAAAAAATCCACAAAAAAAACAAACAAAAAAAACAAACAAAAAAAGCAAACAAAAAAACAACCAACAAACAAGCAGATAAGCAGACAAACAAGTGAGCGAACAAAAAAACAAACAAACAAATGAAAAGGAAACACAAGGAAAGAGACAACAGTGAAAAAAATATTAAAAAAAAAAGAAAAATAAAAAAGGAAAAAAAAGAAAAACTTTAAAACCGAAAGAGATTTAAAAATAGAAATAAATTTAAAAGAAAATGCATGATTTCCCATGTACCATTATTTTAACATTTAATAAAAACAGACAAAAAAAATAAAAGGGAACCAAGAAATAACAAATGACAATAAATCAAGTGGGAGAAGAAGGAGGAGGAGGCAGCTCTTTGGATTTGGGGGGGTTTATTCTTTAATTTTACAGTTTGTTTCCCACTTACCTTTAACCCAACACAGGTTTCTTGGGGACAGGGAATGGGGGTTTGGCCGGCAGTGACTTTGGTGTCCTTGGGCCAGTTACAGAAGATACCAGGGTGCCAGCATCTACTGCGACCTGCTCTGTTTCCCTGGGATCCACTCATCCCCCGTGGGTCCACAGGGTTTAAGACTGACCCCTGTCCCTAGGGAGTGCAGAAGTCAATGCTGAGTCACCCCTCCACAGTGCCCCCATGGGGGGTCCCCACTTCCCCAGCCCTGGGGACCCTGGGGTTAATGGTGACAGTGCAAAAAGCAAACAGACACAGTAAATAAAACACACACACAGAGACAAAAAAAAAGACAAAAAAAGTTTCTTAAAAAAAAAGTGGCAATTTTTTTAATAAAACAACAGCTATAAATAAATGTAAATATAATAAGTGGATTTACTTGCAAGAAAAACATAGTATTTTTTTTCTTTTCATTTTTGTTTTCTCCAGCTTTAAACTGTGAAAAAAAAAAGAAAAAAGACAGCGGGGAGTGGAGTGGAAGGCATAGGCAGGGGGCAGGGGCTGGTGGAGGAGAACCAGAGATCCCATCCCTTCAGGATGTTGCTGTTGCAGTGAGGGGAGCACGGAAGGCCAAAGCTGAGGGCAGCGTGCTGGTGGGGGTGTGGCACTCGTGCACACGCATGACTGTGCTCACACACACGTGCCCAGGAGCATGCATGTTCTCCTGTGAATGTTCCAGAGGCTCCCCATGGCAGCTGCACATGCCCCAAACCTGCATCCCCTTTAAGTCCCTCCAGTGGGGCTGCAGCCATGTCAGGGCATGGAGAGTTCCACACAGCCACCCTGTGAAATATTCCTGCCCCACTCTGGGCAGACCCAACCCACCCTGACCCAAAGCTGGCTGCCAGCTGCCTGGCCTTGACACATGTACCCCTCTGGTCCTCATCCCAGAGACCCCCCCTGCTCTGACCCTGAGCCCCCCGAGTCCTGGCTGCCATGCCAGGAAGAGGTGCAAAGCCACTGGGCATCTCTACTCCCACTGGGTTTTGTCCTCGACCCCCTGTTGCCATGGGGTCTTGGCCTGCTGTGGGCCAGCTGGGCCCCCACCACGCACCCCCAGGCTCCTGGCCTGGCTGCAGCCCCCTCCCTCCCTGCTGTGTCAAAGGGACAGGCACCATGGGTGCCAGTAACTGCTTTTAATCCAGCTCCCCTGATGATGGCCAACACAGATACAGGTGGGAGGGGAGGCAGTGGCAGGTGAGCATGGAGGGCTTCCCTGACACCCCACAAGCCACCAGCCAGCCTGGGGCAAGGACAGGACCCATTTTGGAGCTACTCCCCCAAAGTAGCAGGCATGAGACTGAGGATTTGCAAGATGGGGCCGCTGAGCCCTTCAGCAGCTCAGATACACTTTTTGACTTTTTTTCCGTCCCCGTTCCTGCTGCTCCAGTTTTAGGAGCCGAGCAGTCCCCTGCTTTGTGTCCCAGCAGGGTTTCTGCTTAAAAGCAGCCTGATCTTCCCTGCATCCCCACCTCTATTTAACTCCCCCCTCCCCACTCTGGGGCAGGGCAGGGGGCAGCAGTTGGAGGGGCTCATCCCCCAAAAACAGCATCACAGGGCAAGAGGAGGATACTAGCGGCTTGGCTGGGTGTCCAGACATCCTCATTGTTGAAATCCCCTCCTGTGACCTGCCCCACCCCTTTAAAAAAGATTCACAGGGAACACTACCCTCGATGCCCCCCCGAGGAATAAGTTAAAGCCAGTTTCCTGGACCCCAGCGTAGAGGGAGGGCAGCATTGGGGTTTCCACTGCTAGTCGCCCTCACCCACCCAACACCGTTCAGAGCTGGGGAGCATTCACAGGGCCGAGCACACCCCTGGGGCCAGGCAGGAAGGGGAGAGTGCCTGTGGGAGGCAAGGGCTGGTGAGGGAGCTTTTTTCTGAGGGTGTTACTCATGTCCAGCTCAAACTAGTACAAGAAACCAACCTCCATTTTCTTTATTTTGTGGTTTTTTTCAGACTGTTAAAAAGAAAAAAAATTTTAAAAAGAGAAAATGAGAAAAAAAAAATCCTGGTACATGAAATAAAGATTTTTTTTTTATATATATAACTTGGTCCTCGTTTATGTGGATTTACTGGGTGGGTGGGGGTGGGGTGGTGTGGTGCGCTTATTGCCCTGCTGTGCCAGAGGAGTACCTGGAAACCCAGCAAGAGAGTCAACTATTGTGAACAGTTTTGTCCTTTTGGGCAATTCAGTGGATGGTCTTCTTTCAACTCCTCTTCTCAAGACAGTCTTCAAGATACAAGGAGGAAGGACGAGGCAAGAGGAGAGGGCTTTGCCGCAACTTTTTTTTCAAGTAAGTGCAGGTAAACTCAAGTCACACATGTGGGCTTTCCTTGCTGCCCTCCAAAACATCTGCTCCAACCCCCATTTAGCTCCCAGCATTACTTTTCTTACCCCATTCCTTCCGGGGTGGTATTATCACAAGTGATGATGCCCCAACTGCCCAACAGACAGCAGCTCTCATGGCAGTAAGCCAAGAACTGCCAGCAAGCTCAGAATTTATACAGGCTCAAGGGCTCAAAAAGAAAAGATAATAGAAAGTGGGCTTAACGTTGTTTTGGGGTTTTGTTCAGCCACTCCTGGGATTTCTGGCCATTTCCTCAGTAGCTGAGTTGGCAGTGGCTGTCTTGTGAAAATGCCTGGTGTTGGAGCACAGAGCAGGGATGCTACAGCCAGAGCTGCAGAGCCAAAAATGGGTGAGGTGGCCAGCAGGGCAGGGAAGTGAGAGCCCCACAAAGGTGACTGAGCTCCCAGCATGTCCCCCCACCTCCCGCCCCACCACTGGCAGCAGAGGTGCCACCAATGCACCAAGATTCCTTCACCCTCCACTGGGCTCCCACTTGTCATGGGACACTCCATGGTGTCTGGAGCAGTCCAGAACGACTTCACCACCAGCTTGGAGGAGTGACAGGGAAGGGCATCCACCTAAGTGACAAAGTGCAGCCAGGGTCTGACCCATGGCAGGTGAGTAAGATCACAAGCTGAATGAGAAAGGTGGGGCCAGGTGGGTTAATTCAGCGGTGGCAGGGGGGCAGCAGGGTGAAAGCATACCATGCTCCAGGTGTCCCAGCAGACACCAATAAGTCGCAGTGCAATCACAGCACTGCAATCCTCCCTGCCTCCATGCCGCCCAGGCCGGCACCTGTGGGTTCCCACTCTGGCCCTTCGTAGCCCACCCCTCCAGCTCACCCCTCTCCTCTGGGCCCTTGGTAGTACCTCATACCCACCCCATGCCTCCCCAGCATGCCTGTCAGCACACACATTTTGTGGGCCAGCTGGTGGGACACTTCACTGACGAGGTAATTGGGGGCATCTGCTGCCCCATTTCTGCTCCTCCTTCTGGACCATTCCCAGGAGCAGCCTTGCCAAGAAGGAGGGCGCGAGGAGGGGAGAGGTAGTAAAACAGGCCAGGTGCCAGCTCTGGGGAGGTCAGGGAGCTCCCAGCCCCGGTGTGCACATGTCTA